TTCATTTCGTCTTCATTAAAATGCAACTGATTTTTTAGCAGAGCCTCAAATGCCATTTTCCCCAAAAGATTCAGCTCATTCGTACATCGTTCAATGGGATCTTCGTCACCCAAGAAAATACAATTTTTTGCAAAATGCGTTCTTAGAGCGCAAGATACAAGGCCATCGTACAACTTTTTCTTTTTGGAAGGAAACACTCCTCCTGTTTCTTCACAGAGAAGACAAAGCAAAGCAGTATTAAGGGGATTAACCGTTAATTCTCGAAGCTTTTTGTCTCGGCATAGCTGTTCTATCACTTTATCTGCAAGGTTTTTATTCTCGTGGCTGCTGAAATACTTCTTTATGTAACTTTCAACGTCATCTTGGGTGTAGCCAACAATTTCAAGAAGCGTGTCACAATATCGTCTCACTTTCATTCCAGCTTCATGTCGAGCTGTTAACATGAGGTACGCATTAGCAAAGACTTTGCCTTGAATTAAAGGCAGAAAACCCTGCACCAGATCCTCGCGCAGTTCGTCAAAACCATCGAGAACCAGTAATATTTTCGACTGATTTGAGCGAATAAAGTGAAAGAAGCCTTCCTTTTCCTTCTTGCTTGCATCATGTGGTAGAAGCTGATCAGCAATAGCTTCCTCGATGTTAGCGGTCTTCATGTGCATGTCACGGCACTTCAATAGGAGCAATATCTTCACTTCAGGAAACGAAGCGTCAGGTGGAATCTCCCCCACGGACCAATCATATGCCAGCTTTTGACAATACGTAGTTTTGCCCATCCCAGGATTCCCCTCGATCAGCACCACTCTTGGATTGTAACACTCTGGGTGCGGCTTGAACACGTCTGTCATATTGACGGTGGAATGCGTAAGTTTTGAACGTTCTTTTGTTCTACTAACTATCTGCAATCTTGTAAAGATGTTCGATAGCTTCAGTTGTAGTTCATCTTCACACCATGGAAAGGGACACAGCACCGCGCCTTTGTAGTCTCGTCTGATAAGTTCGACAAGCTTCTCTGGAACAACTGCGGGCGAAAAAAAAAAAAAAAAAAAACAGAAATTTCCAAAAAATGAAAAAAAAACGTATGCACCCGTTAAAAGTGAGCATAACAGTCGACAAAAGGTGACGCGATGTCAACTTCTCCCTTGTTTAAAGCTAGTGTTTTAATTTGTTCCGGTCGATACACGGAAGATTGCAGGCATTCACACTACGACAACTTAAAGCCTAACAGAATGTTGACGCCCAATAAAATAACGACAAATCTTGAATATAGTTTTGAAGCATTTTAGATATATGTTAACCTGCCTGATATAACTTTCTCTGATAACTATATCTCGAGTGTTCTGATTTTGTGTTCAATTAATTATCATTGGAAAATTTAATTACCAAAATTCTTTCCTAAATCAGTTATTACTGCAACAAGCCTACCAGATGGCACCAACAGGTCTTGAAGAGAAGCACTTGACGTAGCAGTTATGTTTTGTGACAAGTCATGAATCGTTTCTGTGCATGAGACATAGAAGAACAGGAGAAACGTCTAAGAATTTATAAGTGTTGTTTTTCACCTCATAACTTTCCTATGCACAACAACGATCAAAGTCTCAACACAAAAAGTAAAGAGAAAAATGTCAATGTGCAAGTTCTGATGACTCCTGATTGCTTATTGTGAATGGACGGAAAAGAGAGACCAATATTCCTTCACATATCAGTCGTTGGGTGGGTAGTAATCTTATTCTTCAGCGATACAAATTATGAGTCGATGTGGGCAGCTGGAGGCAATTTTAAGACTTATGTCTACCCTAATGCAATTACAATGTGAAAAGGTCGAAGCGCTCATTCAAAAAGACGCGGCTCTTCCCGATCTTTCACACAACAGTATGAAACGCGTCTTCTTGATAAGAAAGCTGGAGATTTGTCGGCAAAACCTCAATTAGGCAGGGAAACATGGCAGACTGCTAGACAATGATCTTTCGGAGGAAAGAGAGCGAACAGGGCGATTAATGCCTTATCTCGAAATTACCTTTAAGACTGTGCACATGGTCTTCAACTTGTCTGGTGCGAGTCTCTAGACTTCCAAACCTTTGATCTGCATCCTCTAAAATGCATAAAAATGAATACAATTTAACATAACATAACATACTGACGTTAGTCAAGATTCAAACAAGCTTATTTACAGGAAAAACATAATATTAAAAGACATCTTGAAAAGGGAGTTGAGAGGTTAGCCCTATATTAAAACTCCCAAACAGAAATAGAAAATGCTAAAAAAAAAAATCAAATACAATACAACTACCGTATTTATTCGAATAAGCGCCCAACCTCGAATTAGCGCCCACCTCGAATAAGCGCCCATCCTAAAGGCAGAAAAAGTTAATAAGCGCCCGGCCTCGAATAAGCGCCCACCCCACCACCCCTTCCTCCCACTCCCACTCAAACTCAAATTAGCGACCACCCCTAAAGTAGAATAAGTACTAATAAGAGACTTCCCCGAAGACGGAGTTTCCTTCAAAGTATTTTACAGGAACCTTGCTTTGTTACATCTTCGCGTTTTGTTATTACCATTTATTGTTTTGTTGCAAAATACACATACTACACTTGCTGAAAATGTTGAGAATTTAATAAGCGCCCAGCCTCGTATAAGCGCCCACCTCGAATAAGCGCCCACTCTCAAGGTCCAAAAATTTAATAAGCGCCCAGGGCGGTTAATCGAATAAATACGGTATTCAAAAATCAAGGCCTTAATTAAGGCATGGTTCTAGTTTCACATTTATTAAATACATAACGATGAAGCTTATGTAAATGATGAAGGCTTTTAGCCTCTGCTATGTCTCGTGGTAAATCTTTCCAATTTGAAACTATTCTAATAAAAAAAGACTATTTGTAGAAATCAAGCCTTGCGCTTTTAACATACAATTTGAATGTCGAAGCTCTCATTCATAAAGGCGCGGCCCTTTATGATCTCTAACACAACAGTACCACACGTGTCTTCTTCATAAGAAAGCTGGAGATTTGTTGCCAAAACCAACATGTAATTCCACAACATCAGCGCCATGTATTAATGAGGAAGGGGTTTCATTAATGACAGGAGTAGAAATACAAATATCTTGAAATTACTTTTAAGACTGTGCACTTGGTCTTTGACTTGTCCAAACCTCTGATCTGCATCTGCTACATGACAAAACATAATGCATAAAATTTATAAATGATCTGACAGGTAAACAAAACGCTACAAACCATTAACTAGGAAATATTTTTGTGTTGCAATAATGGAATGAGTATCATGAAAATGAGTGGAGGGGTCAAGCAAGATTACCTTGAAAAATTTTCAGTCTTTCCACCATCTGTTTCATCTCTTTAAGAATTACGGCAGTGTTTTGCAGCTCTTGCTGAACTTCCATCTTATCTTGGTCAAATTCTACAGACAGGTTGTTCACATGATCTTGTAGAAATTTGACTTCTTGCTGGACAAGATGAAGCAATGCGGGGTCTACCGGGGAGTTCATGCACAGCAGAGTGCCTGTTAACAAAAAGCCGTAAAGACAAGTTATCAGTGCCTAAACAGTATAATGTCAACTTAAAATAACAACAGCCAGTTTCTTAGAAGTATCAATATTGTTGTTGGGTCCAGGCCACATAAAAACCCTGTTCAAACTTGGGGTGATCATTCCTTACAACAAATTTGGAAAGAACAACCAAACTTCTGACTTTTTCTAAAGTATTACTGAAGCAGTATTTTACTGAGCCACTGATTTACTAATTGACAGAGAAATATCAGCTCTTGTTTCCAGGCAACCTTTGAACATAATTTTAGATGGTAGAGTAAGACATCATCTCTGCTGAAAATACCGTAAAATTCCGAAAATAAGCCCCTGGGCTTATATTTTTCAAAGGCCCTTTTTGAGTGGCTTATATTTGGAGGGGGCTTATCTACGGAGGGAAATTTGCGTTTCAAAATAGATTGAGATAGCCTTATAGTTGGAAGTAAATTCACTGTTTTACTTTGTTTTACTTTGTATTTGATGGCAATTTTCCAAGTACAAGCTTCCGGGGAGCTTGTATTTGGAGGGGCGATTTAATGCAGGGTTTTTTGCGTTACCAGTTTGGGGGGCTTATATTAATTTGGAGGGGCTTATACATGGAGGGGCTTATTTTCAGAATTTTATGGTAGCTAGCATTAGCCTTCTTTTCTTTGTGGGAGAAGACCATTTTTTTTTTCAGGTGGGCATGTTCATACTGGCCTACAGGTAATTGTGTTCCTGAATAGGCATAAATGATTAATGAGTAACTTGACTGCTAAACAGCAAATTTCATCTCAGTAGGGTTGACAATACAAATTACACTAAAACATACTGGTAATATGTTTCATTAATTTTATCTATGTAAAGTTTAGTACCCTTAGTCTCCCAATCTTTCAGTTCGTCAAAGAGTTTTGCTTCATCTGCAGCAGGTAGAGCCATGACTCTCACCAGGTGTTCCATCTCAATGAAACTCTGCTGAAACTTAAAAGGATCCCACTTACTGAAGACACAGTGCGCCCAGTCATTTCTGATATTCATGACATCACCAGCTGCAGCTTGAACGACAGGTAAGAACACAGGCACACCACCAAGCAATGTTAGCACAGCTGATGCATCGCAACTGTCATCAAAGGCACTGAACTTGGCCATGTAGTTTCTAACATACAACTTGGCAAAGTCAACGTGAGATAACACTCTACAATCAAACAAGGAAAAGTTGTATTTTCCACCAGGAAGCTTTGTGTGAAGACTGTTACCATTGATGTTCTCATAGTTTAAAATTCTTGCAGGCCACCTTTGAAGACAACCAGATGTACTTTGTGTGTGAATACTGTGGTTTGTCTTGAGATTGTTGTATTCTTTATCAACCTCTTGTTCCACAAAAGGACGGATCTGTGGCACAAGGATCTTGTTGAGTGCTATTCCCACCACAAGCCACCTTTTCTGATTATCTGTTACACCAAGGTGACTTAACCTGAAGATTAATGAAGCCACATTACAAGAAAAAATGAACAT